GACAATTTTGAGTCTGTAGAGATCCAGTTTCGGAGACGTTGATGGAGGTAGGCCTAGGCCCACTGGGGCTGTAGTGCCAGGGGGGGGGGAAGAGAGATCCAGTTTACTCGTCTCCATTGAATAATTCTGAATATTAAACATGTGAACTGGCAGACACATCACTGCGCATTCATTTAAGCACTTTCTGCAAAGAAGGAATACAAAACTGAATCCAAACCGCTAGCGCCAAATTGGAAGATATGCACAGCAGTGAAACAAAAAATAACACTGGGGATACTGATATATATGCATTATAGTTATCCTTCTCCATACGTAGGTTCATTGCATTACCCAGCCATTTATGACTCACAGTGGTATTCGCTGAGACCCATGCGTCACGGGAAGGGAGACGATAGGATCCCTGCTGAATCGATTTAGCGTTGACTCAGCTCGAGTATCGAACGCACGATTCACTTCGGGTTCTCCCATCTAAAAAAAACGTTAATACGTACGTTGAGCGACAGAAGGGGACAGCGTGGTACAGGTTACAAAACGGTAGGTAACCTCTTTCATTACACTGAAGCTTCCACATTTGCCACTACAAGGGCGGGGCGACACGCGCATCCACCTGGAGGCGCAAAATTATAATTGAATATAAAGCTAACAGAGAGAAGGTAAAATTACCAAAAAAGAATTTGTAAGTCTGTTATAATAAATGGCGGTTTAGCTCATGCATACTGTGGTGACTGCTGAATTTCAGAGGAGCACTGAAAATATTCTAGTAGGTACAATCGAACGTACTACCTTGTTGCTGAACACGTTTCAGAAGAACAGGGGACATATACAGATATAATTTACTGAAATAAATAATGCATTTCATAGAAACAATCTGAATTTACGGCCCCGTAAGCAGGATGAAAGGTCAATATTCTGGGAGCTCACAGTGTCTGTCATTCTAAGAAAGTGTGTATGTACATGTGTCCTATTCCGAGAAAATCTGTGTTGTTAATGTTATATTTAGATTATGTACGTTTATAATTCAGCAGCAACATGCAATATATTTAACTGACATCTTGATTCAAGTATATCTGATATCCGTTCTTTCAACGAGGTAAGAGGTGGCAACGAATAGCATAACGTTTGAACAAAATTCGATAAAAATTGGTCACTGCTTCAAAAGCTGAAGAACACATTACTAAACCTACTTCTTCCACAATGATACTACACTTAAAAGAGAACTGGCCGCGCCATAGCTCAAGCGGTTAGTCGCTGGCTTCCCACCGCGGCGGCCCGGGTTCGATCCCGGGTCTGGTCAAGTGGGATTTGTGGTGGACAAAGTGGCGCTGGGGCAGGTTTTCTCTGAGTACTTCGGTTTCCCCTGCCAATCTTCATTCCACCAATTGCTCTACAATCACCCTCACCTATCATCTGGGGCTGGTGCAATAGGCCAGAAGTGGCCGCAGCACAAGGGACTCAGTCCCACCCCACTAGCAATAAAAAAAAAAGAGAATTGTTACTAATGCCCCTTTCCAAAATTCAGGCACCATGAAGAGTTTCTAAATATACGACGCCAGAGACAAGCTAAGATTAAACTGACAGTGTCGGCACTTCAACAACTCGCAAAATTAACGAAGACATTTTTTGATACTGATACTCCCCGGAAATGATCACATACTGATATATCTTCTACATACTCCAGTTTATATGCAAAGGGAGACTTTAAGTTGAATTTCCAACGGAAATTTCATTAGTGTTAAGCCCGTGTTCAATTCTCGATCATGTGGGATTTGTGGACAAAGTGGCACTAGAGGAGGTTATCGCCGAATACTTCGGGTTCCCCTGCCAATTCTCATTCCACCGACTACTCCATAGTAATTAATCAAACTATCATCGACGCTACATTGTCTCAACACTCTATATTCTCGAGACAGGTTTCTGTTTCCTACGCGTTTCGCTTTTGATACGTTTTGCTTCATATTTTAAGAAAACCCACAATAGCGATGAATGACTGACTATGCCTGTCGCGGGGGTGTGGCACACAACCGACAAGTTCCTTGGATACTGATCTTAAATTGAAAGATCTGAGGTTTTCACGGCGGTGACTATGAAGAATGCCGTCTTCTGGAATGTGACGCCGTGTAGATATATTGTTAACGAAGTTTCGGAGGAACGTATCGCCTCCGTTGACATCTGCTCACGTTGGTTCATCGCTCGCGGATTTCTTATACCCTGAAGATGGATGCGATACGTTCCTCCGAAACGTCGGTCAACAAAATATCTACACAGCGCCACAACCCAGACGATGTTTCCAGCACTGTTGTTACTGAACTCTTCACGGCATATTCAGGGGTTACAACAAACGGAAAAGAAGCATTGCAAGGTTCTTCCCCGGGATCGAAGTTATACAGACAGGACTTGCGCCTGCACTTTTAAGGTAGCCAGCGGCACACGGTCGATGTCGTCCAGTCCCGAGACGAGAGCAAAGCACACTACATGGAGATTCCACGCTCAGGGTTACCAACCCGGACACGCCTACTTCACTGTACGATAAAACAAGTGTTTCTCTCTATTATCAGACGTCAACGCACACAATCTTTGGGGGGGTTACACTACTTTTTTCGACCCTTAAAGAGTCATCTTCAGGTGCTTCCAGTTACACATTATTAATTACTGAATTGCAACGTGAGATCCCTATATTCCTACTTACGTACACAGGCCATAACATGACTACACTCATGTTTATTTACATACTGTTTAGTGGATATTCACTCTTCTGAGCCTAAATATTAAACTTATTTTTTTTGTATTAATTAGGGAAGAATAAATAAAATAAGATCAGTCCTCAAGAAGGTTGAGCGTGGTAATAACAGCGTACTGAGGTGGCAAAGCAAATAATAGAAGAATTTGAGAAGGCCAAGCGAGGTCTACTGCAGCTCAAGACAAGAAACTGAGCACATCTCATGATTTTTAAATAATTTTTAATTAATTTTAACTTAATCAAAAAAATAAGTTTAATATTCAGCCTCAGATGAGTCAATATCCACTAAATAATAGGTAAATAAACTTGAGTGTAGCCACTTTGTGGCCTTCGTACGTAAGTAGGAATATAGGGATCTCTCTCTAATTAATACAGTGTAACTGGAAACACCTGTACATAACCCTTTAAAGGTCGAAACATGTAGTGTAACACAAATTAATAATATAAAAAAATTTTGCGTTTACGGCTGAATTTGTATTATTAGTTGTACTTACGCAACAGGATGCAAACAATAAAAAATAACGTTTCTCTTCTTTCCTTCACAAATTTCGCTACAAACGTTTCATGTTGCACCTAACAAACATTTACATCAGAATCACTTATATGAGAATAATTTATATCAGAAGGATCTTGGAATGAATATTCTTAGAAGTAGTAACTGCTGCTGCTGCTGTCGTTGCTGTCGTTGTTGTTGTTGTTGTTGTTGTTGATTCAACAAAAGACAGATTGTGATTTGTTTACAATTTAAAATAAGGTAAATCTTTCAATACAACACTTCATATCAGCAAATTTACCTTTAGTGAAACTGGCAAAGAGAGCTGGTAGTTGACATAAAATATTCAAACTTTATCGTACACATCTTGTTGTGTTGTAAAATAGCGTAAATGGGTCCATCTACAGAATAAAGGCAAAAATAAATACTACAGACAGTCATGCAACACTAGTACAGCGGGGCCACCTTAGATACACAAGAACAAATATAGAGCACTTAAACTTTACACATACGAAAAACTAAACCAACCATTTACACGACGTCAGAAATAAAATCAACAGGACAGAGCTTTGAAGAAGCTGAGTTTTTCTTGAAAAGCCAACAGCTGCTTAGCCACTCGATAAATTCCCAGCAATTTATGGATCTGGAAGGTTCATTACCACGTGAGCAAGAGCCTGTCACTGGTCCCTAATTACGAATCTAGTCCACACCCTCACACCATACCTCTTTGAAATCAATTTTGTTCGTCGCCATCTTTATGTTCTCAGTTTCTCTTCTTCAAGTTTTCCCATTAAAAACTTTGTATGAACTTCTCTCTAATGTGTACTATATGGCCTGCCCATCTCATTCTCCTTGACTTGATCACTATAATTACAGTTGGCAAAAAGTGCGAGTTATGAAGCTCCTCACTATGGAGTTTTTCCAACCTCCTACTATTTCATCCCCTTTAGGGCTAATCTCAAACACAGTCGGTCTATGGCCAAAAATGCAGAGAAGTTATAAATGTTTTCGAGTTATTATCCAATATACAATTTACGGAAGATAAAATTTACCTTATTAGAATGAATGTGATACAAATTATACATTATTTAACATTATGTCCACCGCAATGTTACCAAATAACATTTAAAATATAACGAAAACACAAAAATTATACTCCCCTGAGCACCGAGTACCGGGGCTCTTTCTCCGGGGGTAAAGCGGCCGAGGCGTGAAGCTGACCACTCACCTCAAACTTCTGCCGAGGTCAAGAAAACGTGGTTCTATAAATCCACTCCCCCATACGTCTGCATGACGCAGTGCAAAATTAGTTTAGCGCTGGGACAATTTTATCTTATTTCCTTTTTACGGACAAAATAATTATGCTTTAAAATCGATTTAATTGACGTATCATTTATCAAGCATCACGCCTAATCAGGCAACTGCTGCTTCATACTGCGATTACAAATAAAATGCACTTTCAGTGCATGTGTAAAACGTCACTAACCACGTACCAGAACAGAAAAAAACATACTCTATTATTGCAATTACAGGGCGGTATTACAAAAATCCGTACCAGTACTTACACAAAAGTAACATTTGCGACCCCTTGGCTTCTAATACAATGCTCTTGAATCAACACGTCTCTAACATGCTATAAATATACAAAATCATTCTGCACTACAGGAAAGAGAAGAATTCCCCCCAGGGTATGTACACCTTCATCACCTAACAACCATGGATCTGCACCACATAACGGAAACGAAAACACATATGAAAGAAGGAACTCACCCACAGTTCCGTTCCCCAACTCATTTTCGAACCACAAACGGTGTTAATGTTCACTATTCTAGCACTTTTCTTTGACACATACACAAAACTCCTCAAGTAATAAAATTCACCATACGCGCACCCAAACACTCAACATTTCCACTTCAACATGGCTGACTGACTACTGCTGACACTAAGCACCAGGGATCGCCAGCAAATTTGATATAGCACTAAATGCTATTGGCTGGAAAGGCAGCAACTGCGGCAACTGCGACACCAGGAATTCAAAATATTGCTATCTGCTCCATCTGTCCAACTATTACAAAACACTTATGCTTCAGTGCCATGAGCTCAGTAGGTAAGGAAATTATCTGTTTCGTTGGCTTTTAGGTTCTCACGGCGGTGGTCATGAAAAGTACATATAATCTTCTGGGATATAACGCCGTGTTGTCCGTTTAGAGTACCCTTCAAGTTACCTTGTTATCCAACTACTCCCTACCTTGTCCAGACATAGCAGTGAAATCTTTTGCAACCCTGATCCCTTGTATAGCACAGGATCTTACTCCGTTTTTAGAAATGACTGCATGTGAAATGGTTTAACCAGTATCATTTCACTCATATCTAATAGGAGAAAATTTTCCAGCAGTTTCTGTAAAGAAGTAAAAACATTTCATAATGTTATACTGTAGCATCCTGCTGTACATTACTTGGTATCAAATGTTGCTGGTTCCATTGTCCCATGTGAAACACGTCTTTCAATAAAAATTACTAAAACTTATTCTCTGTAACGTTTTACACACCACATAACTTTTTAAAAGTTTTCCACTACATGTTTCGACCAATATGGTCGTCACGAGGTGTTTAAAATTATAGTTGAGGAAACTGCTTTCGTGAAAAAGACGCACAGCATAACAAAACAGGAAGAACAACCTGTCACCTCAGACAACCATGTGCATAGAGGGGACCGTATATTAATAAGCAAAGCCATATAACATTTCAGCGCTTGCAAAACAAGGTTCTCCGCAACATTGGTAATTTTGTAAGGCGCACACCGGTTCACTATTTACATGTGGCTTTCAAAATTCCGTACGTATAGGATTATATAACAAAATTATGAAGACAACAAGCAGAAGCCATACAAAATCAAAATAACGAAAATGTCCGCAGTATAAGTCAAGTCGAAGCCCGACAAGGAAAGTATAAGAGGCTTCAACTTTGCAGCGGTCAAGCATACGACCGTTGAAGTTGTAAAGTTGTAGCTGCCGTTGTAGCGGAAACTACTGGAAACAGGACACAATCTGCTGTAATGAGCCTGGACTGACAGAGGCCCTGTATATATTGTATATGCATTTTAACACGTTTAACATGTAAAATGTAACATATTTTATATTATGACAAATGACTTACTACTGCAGACAATGACTCTGACAAAAGACAGACCCGTCCTCTCGTCAGAGATGGGACCCCACAATAACAAGACTGTAACTGTCGAACAGTAATAAATATCTGGTAATGAGCCTCAGATGGGGCTCGGCACCAAGAGAGACTGACTGATTGACCGTCAGTCGCAATGTGACTTTGACTTCCGAAACATACATTAGCCCGCGTGGAGGCGGGGTCCAATACCTCCACCGTAACCCTGCGAGTTGTAGGAGGCGACGAAAGGGGATGTATATAATCTGAGACAGTAAAATATGGTCGCGAGTCCCAAGGGACTTGGACACGAGAAAGACTGAGCTGGCAAGACCAGCAGCATATACAAAAGACAGACCCGTCCTCTCGTCAGAGGGCGTTGCCTTTTCCTCAGTTTGCGCTGCTCCATTCGCTAACATGTGTTCAACTCAGACTGATAACAATTCTCGGAAATCTCGGTTGCGTTACGGTTGCCAGTTTCCTTTGTGTGCGCCCGGCCTAAGGGTTGTGAGTTGGTTCCTTGTAATAATTTCTTCCTCTTCTCCTTTCAGAAAAGCATAAAGCCATCCACCTGCCTATTACCAGCCAGTAAACCATCCTTGTATTTTGACAATTTCCTTATATACTCAAAGTTGGTTCTTCAAAATAAATAAATAAATAAAAACTGAATTAGAATGAAGTTTGCTTGTCTCTCCTCTCCACTGTCATTTTGCATACAATCCTGTTCTCTAGAGTAATTCCACTCACAGTACTGAGTTTGAATCTTAAAATCACTCCTATAACAAAGCTGTATAAATACAGACAAACAAGTCCAGCTTACAAATCAATGCCTCGGATAGCTGCAAAGAAGCAATATCTAAGAACAGGATACGGTTTAATTACAAGATCCACCCATAAATGTTTTTAGTAGTTTTTCATGGTCCTTCCTGGCAAATGCTGGGATAATGCCTGTTTAAGGCCACAAGCACTTCCTTTAAAATCCTTCCCAATTTATCAGCCACTCTGTCATCCAAAGCCTTTACTTATCTCAGAACGTTATGTAGATTAGATACTGAAATTATCGTTAAATGATCCACGAACGAAATAACATTTAAATACGGGGAAGATTCTGTGTATTGTTAAAGTAAATTTTACGAAGGATGTTGGCTATATGGTGTCCACACTCGTTGAACCAATAACATAACAGTACGATTGATGGTAGGGTTTTGATGTGTCGTTAGGGGTTAAGAATTTCTCGGACGTTATGTATATAGAGAAATGTTATTTAATGATCATAATTACAGTGAAAAAGGAAGGAATTATGGATATTTATCATTAAGGACAGCGCACGTGCATCCAGTCTGGGTGGGATCATTACTGCATTATTCATTTAAGAGTTAACGTATTGTAGCTATACAGGAACTCATTCATAACTTCGATGGAGGAAGTGGAAAGAACTGCTGAAGGGCAGTGTTACGTGACCCAATCCACTCCACGTCCCTCGATACTCGAAACCTAAACACGCAATTTGTCACAGATATATAAAATTTTAAGTTCTCACATCGCCCTGCAGTATGGTGGAGTGGTACCGACGTTTCGTAGTAAACTTCTGCCTCAATCCTTGAAGATGGAGATAGCAGTTTCCTTCAGAACATGTGTATCTATCCATCAGACTACAAGGCATCACATCCAGAACACTGAAGTTTCTTGATGAATACATTTCTTCATTTGGAAGGGATGTTTGGGAAAATTTGCATCCCCTGACCGGATGGTTGGTTGAATGTACCATATGGGGACAAACATTCATAATAATTGGTGTACTGTAATTTTTGCCAGGGTTATGTTGTTACTTGAACTGAACATCACCTGAAATACCTGGGCATAGGAAGAAACTTGAGGTTTCTTGAGTGAGACATTCGAGATCAAAACTGCTTTGTTTTGTTTTATTCTGTTTGGCCATGGTTGTTTAGCAGGGCACTAAATTATGTGCCACTTGGCCATCTTTTGTGCTTTGACACAAATTTCAATACCCTACTTCAGGACTTTTCTGCAATGAACACAAATCAGACAGGACAGACCTTTACTAATGACCATGTAAAGAGTTTATTCCACTCAAAATAATTTTACATGAATTTTTAGGCTTTTGGGCTTTACAATATTCATAATTGTGATATTTTTTTTCTGTATGAGGTATCATTATTTGTAATCAAATTAAACCTTTAGAGCTGGCACAATGAAAAGTTTTAAACTTCCTTAATATAAAAGGTACTTGCAGGTGCTGGGTGCAATTTTGCTGTGTATGCCAGTTTTACTCACCCTGCTGAGAAGAGGTATGGCAAGCAGTTACACAGCAGGAACTCATTCTGTTGCCTATGTAACAGCACCCAGTGAAGACGTGGCAAAGAAACTTGCTCAGTGAGTACAGCATCATAGTTCATAAGCTTTCTTGGATTTATTAATTAGTCTGATTATAAAAAAGTACTAAAAAATAAAAGTTGTTCCATCACCAGAGAGCAACATGACAGTAGAAAGGGGCATGTAGATAGTATCAACACATTCTATGAGGATATGATGAGAAGTAGTCTCCATTTCTCTATCTAAAAAACATACACACATAGCAGTGTGAACCACACAGCATTCATTTAGTCATATGAGTACTTTCCACTTTTGTGTGAAGTCTGATGATTTTACAAGTAGAGGTCTCTGAATTAGTCAAGGAAGGGACGCAATGTAAGGTTGTGTGTGTGTGTGTGTGGAATAAACAGCATTCAACGATCGAGTCTGTGACTGCAGGGAAGTTCCATCCATTCAGCCATCATCATCATCATATTTTATCAGATAATGAAGTCAGGACAGCAATGAAGATATGGTTCCATCAACAGGACACAGTTATGACATGACAGACTCATGAAAGTACATTATCATCGGCAGAAGTGTTTAGACCACAGAGGTGGGGATTATGTTGAGAACTCTGTAAAATTACAGACTAAAGTTCACCATTTTTATTTCAATGAAGGAAGCATTACTACTCGGCATGCCCTCATATAACTCAGCGTTGAACAGAGGTAGAATGAAACCTCATATAAGGTTTCTTTGGGGGGCAGTAGATATGAATTTTAAACTAAGGAAATTTAATACCTAAATTATTGATTGAGAGGATTGAAACTGAACATTAAATGAGGAGAAACCTTAAATGGAGTTTCACTGCATGTGATCAGCCTCACATCACAGTCTGACCAATCTACCCCTGCGCAGAATCTCTGTAACTACTGAACAGGAAGTTGGGGTGTGCCTGAGATCTGGCCTGGACTAGGTGGGAAAGTGAAAATTCTTTGTCTGTACCGGTAATTGAACCCAACATATAGCCCAGGGTCAGTCCTTAGCTCATATCAGTGGTTGCAGAATATTTAATTTGAGAAGTACTAGTGTGTCACAGCAGATATAAAATATTAAACAAGTAATGCATGTCTTATTTGCTATCTAACAATTTTATTAGTCATGAATTTCCTTGTACTCTGTTCTAATACAAGGGTTGGAACTTTAATAGTGGCAACACTGCTGTAGAGACGCCATGCAGTGGAACCAAATAATGTCACTTATACCACACGTTAGTTACATACCTACCTTACCTCAGAGCAAATGGACTCTCCCTTCCCACATCATGCACATGCGCAGTGATGAGAAGAACAGAGCCTCGTCTTAGCTGGCGGTCTAATGTAGTGTTGTTGCAATGTTTTCAAAACAGGAACAACGAAGTTGGATAAAGACTGAATGTGCCAAAGGCCGTACAGCACGACAGTGTCATCAAGGTCTTCAAGAGGCTTGCGGGGAATCTGCATTGCCTTACAGAACAGTGGCAAGGTGGGTAAAAGCCTCCAATGAGGGATGCCAAAATGTGGCAGACATGCGTCGGCCAGGTTGTCCTAGTGTCAGTGAAGAAGTGTATGCTCTTTTCGCGTTACTGGAGAGTGATCGACGCCATACGATTTGTGAGTTGGCCCAAGAGACAGGATTAGCACATACGACTGTGCTTCACATTCTGAAGGAACGCCTGGGCATGAGAAAAATTGTATCACGATGGGTTCCGCATGATTTGACAGAAATGCAGAAATGGCTACGATACGATGCTCCTCGTAACCACTTGGAGCGCTATGAGCGCGAAGGAGAGGCTTTCTTACGCCGTATCATTACGCTGGATGAGACATGGGCCAAATCGTATGAGCCACAAATGAAACGTCAATCGAACGAATGGCGTCATTACGGGTCACCACAAAAATCAAAAGTTCGTCAGAACCCCAGCAATGTGAAAGTTATGGTGATTCTTGTGTACGACTGTGATTGTATTATCCTAACGCATACTGTTCCCTGACAGCAGACTGTCAGTGCGCAGTATTACTGTTCATTTTTGGAACACGACCTGTGACCAATTTTGAGAAAGAAGTGGCAACACTTTCTGCAGAACCTACCCATCATTTTGCAGGACAATGCTCGGCCGCATGCAGCACAAGCTGTGGCTGATTTGCTCGATCGATGGGGCTGGGAAGTGCTGTACCATCCACCATACTCCCCGGACTTAAGCCCTTGTGACTTCAACTTGATTCCTAAGATGAAGGAACCACTTCGTGGCATTCGCTTCGCAACTGTTCCAGAGATTCTTCAGGCAGTAGACTGCTTTATTCGAACTATCAACAAAAGAGGTGCTGCTAAAGGTATCCTATGACTTCCGCATCCCTGGTAACGGGTTGTACACGATGCTGGTGACTACATTGAAGGACAGTAAAACTTCGAAACATGCATCCATTTTGTATCAGTTGTAAATAAATAGTTGCCACAATTAAAGTTCCAACCCTCGTAGTATTCAGCAAATAAGTCGCTTGTCATGCATGTGACCAGGTGTGCAGACATTCCCTTTTTCAGTGAAGACTGATAAGTTTAGTGGGATACACCACTTAACATTTTAACAAAATCAGTGAACAACTACTGATCATGAACCAGTGTCTCCTTATGTTTACTTTTATGGTGAATTCTGTATTCCACTATGCAACTGAAAGGTGAAGACTTTTGGCTCTGAAACTGTAGATGCTGTTGTGTAGCTGTGTGTTTTAGTCATTTTAAAGATACTATAAGCAGCTTGTGCAGTAGTGTATTTAGAGCCAAAGAAATTAAGTTTAAAGAAAAGAACTTTGATACTCACATTGGAATGAAAAACCCAAGTTTGCTTGTGAACCCACCAGTATATAAAATGAATGGCTGAAATGGACAGCCAAATATTCTCAAATTGTCAACATGTCTGTTCATCTTTTTTCTGTAAGCCTTTATGGTTCACTGCTTCACTGAATACTTATTCTCATATTTGCATTTGCTTGGCAGAATTCTGCATCTTCAAAAAATCTGCTCGCTTCTTCAGTATGCACAGAATTCCATAAATTTGTCATCTCTAAAGGAATTCTCAATGTATAAATTATCACATGAATTCCTGTCAAATAGAACATTTCACCAGATAACTCACTCACACTTTGTGAACAATTGAATTTTACTGGTCTAGAATACAATGTTGCTACATGTTTCAGCTCACAGGTGATAAAATTAACAAGTCTTATTACCAATGAATTGCAAATTATATATGGATCCATATATTACTCTTATATGGTGTGTTACAAAATGAAATGAAAAAAAATATATGATATACTTCTGTCGCTTTTCTAATTGCCTTTATATGCACAGATTATACAGCTGCATTCTTACACTAAATTCTCAATGCATAATAGATCTTATATCACACTGATATTTGTGGATTTGTTGTTGAAGCCATGTGCTAACACAGGAGACAATATGGAGTAAATTTTGAAGTTACTCAGTTCAGTCACTAATATCTAAACACCAAACTTTTTTGAAGAAAGTCGTCTTCTGGGTTTAGGCGCCGTGTATTCTTCGTTTTGGCCAAAGCGAAGAATACACGGCGCCTAAACCCAGAAGACGACTTTCATCATAGTCATCGCCATGAAAACCTCAAAACTTACACATCAAACTTTTTTATTTGGGAAGAAAGGTGCCAAAATTTGATTCCAGTGCACAGTGCCAACAAGAATGCTATATGCCCCCCAAATGGGCGCTATTTATTAGAAGGTGTGGCTAGTTTTGATGATACCCTCTCTCCATATGCCATGCTACAAAATTGAAATGTCAATAATATGTATTATTATTTTCAGTGGTATTGTGGCTAACAAACTGGCAGCTTGCATTAACGTTATACCCAAGATAACTTCTATGTAAGTAAGTCAGTTATTATATCTGTAGTGGAATATGAACATTCATATTGTTAATGCAGTGATATATATTTAGGAAGTTGAATTAATTAAAATGACACTTCATCTACAGATATGAATGGAAGGGAGAAATCAATGAAGACTCAGAAGTGCTAATGGTATGTAATTGAGGGAAACTGATAATAGAGAATAAGAGGTAACCTGGTGAGATAATTAGACTATTTTCTTTTTCCCCTTGGCACTACAGCCCCAGTGGGCCTAGTCCTACCTCCATTCACTTCGGTTTCCCTAGATCTTACACATTCGGTAGGACTCCTTGGGCGGGTGATCACCTCGTCGCAAGGCCTCTACCTGTACACAAACACAGAAAAACGCACACACACAAACTAAACATCCATGCCCTGAGTGGTATTCGAACCAACGATCCTGGTTTCCAAGCGAGCGAAGACAGTACATGCCTTAGACCGCTCGGCTACAATTAGACTAATTAGCCCACCTAACTGGACTCTTAGACTAAGGCAGCTAGCTGAATTCAGTCCACACCATTTTTTCTCTCTAACACAATACAGCATTATACAAAAGTGCTTTATTGCAGTAATGTAGTGGTGTGCTAAATCTCAGCCTGAAATCAGGCATCCCATTATTTCCTTAACAGAATAATCATCTACATGAAATATTTACTTAGAATAATAGACAAGAATATTTGTTTGTGTGTTGACACTGAATTGTGTACAGCTTTGCACAAGAAAAGTAAGCCATTCCCTGGAGTACACAACTGAACCATCAAATGTTCAGTGTGTAAACTGAGAAAATTAAAAGATGCACTCAAAATTGGTGATAATTTGAACACAGTAACCAACAAACACTTTCTTTCATTTCATACGGGGTTATTTTCAAACCTTGTTATTGAGATCTTCCCGCATTTTTGAGATCCATGATATTTGTGTGGATACACAGCCTTCACCTTTTTTTTTTTTATTATTGCTAGTGGGGCGGGACTAAGTCCCTTGTACTGCGGCCACTTCTGGCCTATTGTACCAGCCCCAGATGACAGGTGAGGGTGATTGTGGAGCAATTGGTGGAATGAAGATTGGCATGGAAAACCGAAGTACTTGGAGAAAACCTGCCCCAGTGCCACTTTGTCCACCGCAGATCCCACTTGACCAGACCCGGGCTGCCGCAGGGGGAAGCCAGTGACTAACCGCCTGAGCTATGGCGTGGCCCCCAGCCTTCACCTTGAAGAAACTTTTATGAATGTCCATGGCTTCAGTTCCATGAGACAAACTACAACACATATTCTAAAACCTCTGTAAAGGATGTGAGTAATATCTACAAAATAAAAATCTATCCATACTGTGTTGCTGCCACAACACATTCAACTTCAACTGTAGTTTCCACAAAAATTATGTATCATTCAAATTTTTATGAAGGGGGATTTTCATTTCAATGTTCAAGAAATCACATGGTGGAGTCTACAGATGTGAATTTCTAGACACTTGTTAAATTAGTATATTACTATGAATTTTTATTCTGGAACATGTATTGAACTGGAGTTGTACAGTCTTTCACTGTACGTATTATGTTTATCTTTCCAGATGATCAAAACTAGGACATCTCGGGTTGATGAACTAGCAGAATATGTCAGGTAAAGCTGAAAGCAAACCTTTCACCTTATCAAAACACATGAGAGTACCCTCCTGTCCAGCTTAGAATCTGTGTTTCAGGTTAATATTTGACATACATTTTTGGTTCTTTTTAGGTCAAATCATCCTTATGAAGTGAGTGAGGTTATCTCTTTACCAGTAAGTATCAAAATATTTGCTACAAATTTTCTTCTTCTGAAACAGCCATGCTTAGGCAGCGTTTTACAGTCTTTTATAAGCCTGTACGCAACATCTGCACACCATTCAATATCAGAGATAACATGGATGGAGCAGATTCAAAAAGAAATTACAACAGTAACATTTATTCTCATAAAGGATTAACAGAATTCAGTGACTGTATTAAACATAATGTAATACTTCTTCCTTCAACATTTATAGTATTCAAAGACAGTTTTTTTCCTCTGTTCCTCAATTCAGGCCATGTTTAGGAATAAGAATATTTTTCACATCCTAGTGAACACGGTGAAATTATCCCTGAACCTAGGCAACAGATATCTATTTGAAAGTGTGCACCTAACTTGAAAGGATTTCCCCCTTACTGAAGTTGCATTCACATTACTATTAAAGTTCAATTTTTATGGGTGATTTTCTGACATCACCAAATAAAATGTTGCTGCTTGACAGTATCTCTGCATATATTTCAGATTGAGAATGGGAATCCACCATACTTGGACTGGATTGGCGAGACTGTTCCAAAGAAATCATAGCTTCAAAATCCATACACTGATGTCATCAATACAAGTTTTATCAGATGGAAGAGTCTTTTTCTTTTTTGTAATACTGGTGTCAATATGAAAACAGAAAATATAAATGGTTTAAGGAATAAACATGATTTCTAATAAAATGGCTTTATTTTCTGGAATACTTACTTCAGAATGGCTGACACAGAATAACCATATGTGCAGAATTAGTTGACATGATACAGTTATTTTTTGAGGCCATCCTTCTGGTTAAGTTTTAAATGCATGACCCAAAATTCACATTCTGATCTGGAAACGACCAGCTTTTGTTATATACTTGACACCCTTAAATGGCTTGTACTTCTCACCATACATATCAAGTCGATTCACCTTCAATCCTGATACAGCTAGCTGGCTGATGGTGAACTGAACCTGTGGATTAATAAATATAATATTCATATCCTTAATTTAATTGCGACATACCAAGTATACAACTATGTAACATGAAATTAAATTATGCATGGTGAGTTGAAGTGAACCGGAGAGGAAGTGGTTGTGAACTATTTCTACATATTAATCCCAGAATGTGTTTGTAATGGCTAACACAAATCACAAAAATATCTCTGCGAAGGTAGCCAGTGCTCCATTTGAGATTCAAACTGATCACCTCCAAATACGAGTATGGCCTATTACCACTTTTTCACCCTACCAGGTGGATTAAGGCAAGGTAGTTAAATAAACAAGCCATCATATTGGCTGTGTGGTCTAAGGCATGTACAGTTTTCACCCTGTTGAACACTGGCATCATGGGTTCGAATCCCACCTGAGGCATGGATGTCTGTGTGCATTTATTCTATGTTTATGTTGTTTTGTGTATAGGCAGAGGCCTTGCGACTGGCTGATTCCCCATTCAAGGAGTCCTACTGACTGTATATAGGATTAAGAAACTGTAAAGTGGCCAAGGCCCAACAAAGGGCTGTAGTACCTATACATACATTGATTGCTGGATTCGACTCCACAGCAGTAGTACCAGACTGCAGGTTGATCTGTAACACATTCACCAAACAATTACATTTTGATCTCAATCTTCATGGCAATTACAGTACTACTGCTGTAGGTAGCTCACCGTGCCACGCAGACTGGGCAACTTTGCTGTGTCAATACGCCCAACATCCCATATCAGGACTTTGCTCACAGGATCAAATGAGTATTTTCCTTGATTTGGTACCAGGCTGCAATTTAGGACTGCTTTTGGCATAGGTATCTCAATCATCACAGATTCAACCTAAAATATATATGCAGAGGAATTAAACAAATTCTCAGCATAGCAGTTTTAGAAGAAAAGTAATTATCCCTATTTTAATTTATATAAATTAATCCTTCCTCTGAGAAGTTGACCATTACTCAGCAGGTCAAGAAATATCCTGGGTTTGTGGAATAACAAGAATGATCATTCCCCTGTTCTCAAAAGCCCAATGGACCCTCTCCTCAGTTAGTTTGTACCAGTTCACATCTTCACAACCCTTCTGTAGGATGTAGAATCTACAGAATATATACGAGGGTGTTTCTAAAGTTTCCTGTATGGTGGTGCCAACATGAAGTGTTCTGTGTAAGAACTCCCATAAGTTGTGACTTTAGTATCAACCATATGCTGTAGGGAAGCATTGTGGTGACTGAGTGCACTTGCACAATATTTAGCTATGGACTGAGAGAATGTGAGTTTCAAGTGTATGGGTATGAGAGTAGTGATCAGTTTCACGTGTTGTTGGGAAAAATGTCATGTGAATGTTCTTATGTATTGAAAGAAGACCAAAGGACTTACGCCTGACTGTGAGTTCAGGTCAGGCCACATTTGTAATGACATTGACTTGTACACAGTTTTTATTACACATGATCTTTGTAAATCTGGTGGTAAAAAGTAAAGCTGCCCCTGTGCTTAATTAATTTAGCAACATGTCATGAAGAAATATCAGGAGTGGAGGTAGAGCTCCACCATTCTTGACTTTGGCACTAGATGGAGGTGAGTCGGCCCCAGGGATGGCCTGGATGCCATGCAGAAGAGAAGAATCTTGCCCTACAGAAATCTGGTGATGCTGTCTATGGACTAAAATTTGATTCCAAGTTAAAGAACAGCTGGTCATGGAGGTGTAGGTTTGTTTGAATAGAAATTCACTAATTTTTTTAACAGAGAATACAACTGATAGAAAACACACCTTTTTTTTCACTAAGTAATTAAATAATGTGTATGAATGTCTCTACTTCTCAGAGAATTTAGAAACTAATAAAATAATCATATGAATATAAGCAGAAATAGAAAAGTTATATTTAATGTTAACATTATTAAGAGGTAATGCCCATTCATTATCAAGACTATTAATCTGTGCACACATCACACCCCTGATTGGCACAGGCTGCACAAAAAACACTACTTCCAACAGCTATTCTATTGTTCTGTGTGTGTTTGTTGTGGTCTTCACATGATGGCTGCTGATCCGTTCCCTAGCAATGGCTGTCTCTGCTGCTGTCACAATTATGGGTTTCAGCAGACATACCACAATATTTCTTACCAGAAATTAACTAATGACAAGTCAAGCAAATCATCCCTTCCACCTAATTTATCAAAGACCCTGACTATTAACAGCACAACATATTATATAATTAAGCATCCCATAGTATAATTTGAAGGGTTAACATTGCTAATACCAAAACTCATCACTGGACAATCTCCTTAGTCAATTCTATTCACTTCCTATTAGCCCCACCTAAACTTGTGGGAGGACTAACAAGGTGTATCACCGTACAGATATGGGTGAAGCCCGACCTATTCGCCAACACCTGAGCAGGCTGCCCCTAGCAAAGCAAGCGGAGATGCTTGACGGCATGCAACGCTGTGGGGTTGTCGAGGAATCAGACAGCCCATGGTCGTCCCCAGTCATTCTGGTCAGGAAGAAGAATGGAGAACTCTGTTTCTGCGTGGATTACAGAAAGTTAAATGATGTCACAAAGAAAGACTGTTTTCCACTACCCTGGATTGCTGACACTCTAGAAACGCTGGCTGGAGCCAAGTGGTTCTCCACCCTCAATCTGAAAAGTGGATACTGGCAAGTAGATGTACACCCAGACGATAAGGAGAAAACAGCATTCTTGACAGGGCAAGGATTATGGCAGTTTACGGTCATGCCCTTTGGGCTCTGCAACCCTCCTGCAACATTTGAAAGACTAATGGAGACAGTACTGTGAGGTCTCATGTACGATTCATGTCTCGTGTACTTAGACGACATAAACGTAATTGGCCGCACTTTCCAAAGAACACTTGACCAACCTGCGAAAAGTATTTCAGCAGTTCCAGGAAGCCCGCCTAAAGCTCAACCCAGAGAGGCGTCAACTCTTTCAGAAGGCGGGACACTACCTCGGACATATCGTATCACCTGGAGGGATAACCACCGACCCAGAGAAACTGAAAGCCGTGAAGGAATGGCCAACCCCAAAGAATAACCATGAAGTTAGGAGCTTCCTGGGGTTATGCACGTAATACAGATGATTTATTTCCGGTTTTGCGAACATTGCTAAACCACTAACCAAATTCACTGAGCGGAAGCAATCCTTTCAGTGGACCACAGAGGATGAAGCCACCTTCCAAATGCTCAAGACAGCCCTGTGTGCTGCCCCGATTCTTGCATACCCACAACCAGGAGAGAGGTTCATCGTGGACACAGACGCCAATAATGTCAGAATTGGAGGAGTACTCTCTCGAATACAGGACAGACAAGAGTGTATCATAGCTTACTTCACCAAGACGCTAAACAAAGCAGAGAGAAACTACTGTGTCACCCAACGAGAACTACTTGCCATAGTGAGGATGCCGGAACATTTCCACAAGTACCTGTATGGACAATGGTTCCATCTGCGCATGGACCACTGCGCTTATCTGGCTCATGAGTTTCAAGAACTTAGAAAGACAAACTGTGCACTGGATACAGTGCCTACAAGAGTACAACTTTACTTCTTAGCATTGTCAAGGCCGGAAACACAACAACGCAGACGCCTTATCTAGATGACCCTGCCAAGAGCAATGTTCGCATTGCCACAAAGTTGAGACACGGGCAGATGTAAAGCAAATACGCGCTATTGCAACCCTACTGGCAGCTGGCTGGGACCCAGTTACCCTAAGACAGGAACATATTGTGACGTGTTGACCCCTACCTCCCCAGCTGCACGTAGCGGTAACGTAGCGCTCGCGTAATAGGCGAGTAATCACCCCGCATCCTGGTAGCTATGCAATGCGCGGTGACGTCACGAGCGGAGCCGAAGTGAGCCGAGCGGAGCCGACGTTAGCCGAGTCCCCGCGACCTTGAAGCTATGCAAAGTGAATCAACAGCGGTGACGTCACCGAGGGATATCGCGGTTGCTAGGCAGCAGTCAACAACTCCGGACAGCGTGGCTAGCAACATGGACCAGACGACAATTGTCCGATCAAGGCTACATAAGGAGCAGCGAAGGCTATTCACAGTCAGTTGTACTGTGACAGTCGCCGAGTGTGTTATCAACAGTTCTCAAGGCAGCAGCCTGCGAGTGTGCGATAACTAAGAAGTCAGCGAGTGGAAGACTTATTGTGTGCTTTCAAGACATAGTGAGTGCTGTAGTACAGTTATATCTGGAGTGTGTATTTCAGGGAGACTTGTATAGCTCCCGCGTTAATACGTGAAGACTCTTGAAGATAGTGTTAAGAGATTTTGTTGTAGGGTTTGTAAAGTGTGGAAACCCGTAATATTGTGATAATTAATTGTAGCCGTTATTTGTAGATTGTTAAATTAACCATCTCTACGGCGTCTTCGGTAACAAAACACGTAACAATATAAACGACCCAGAAGAGCCTATTCTACAGGAAGTAGAAACCAGATGACTGGAATGGCAAGATATCGTGGATCAGAGTCCCATGTACAAAAGCTACTGGGCTCAATGGAAATCGCTCACTGTGAGAAACGGCATACTATAGTGCAACTGGGAATCCGCCAATGGAAGATATCAAGTAGCCCAGATAATTATTCCTCGGAGCAGGGTGAAGGACGTTCTAAGCGAACTACATGGTGGACCGTCAGGAGGTCACTTGGGTGTTAACAAAACCCTGAATAAGGTTCAGCAGAGATTCTACTGGCTCCAAGCAAGAGCCGATATTGAGAAATGGTGCCGACAGTGTAACACAGGTGCAGCCAGTCGGGGACCGCGGACCAGGAATAGTGGGCAAATGCACCAGTATAATGTTGGGGCTCCTTTCGAGAGAATAGCCATTGATATCGCAGGGCCCTTCCCATGAAGCGACCAAGGAAACTGATACCTACTGATCAATATGGACTACTTTATCAAGTGGCTGGAAGGGTATGCCATTCCAAATCAGGAAGTGTCAACAATAGCAGAAGTTCTGGTTGCCAACTTCTTCTGTCGCTTTGGCATACCTTGGGAGTTGCACAGTGACCAAGGCTGTAATTTCGAGTCTCATCTGCTACAAGAAGTTTTGCAATGCCTGGGAGTGAGCAAGATGCACACCACGCCCCTGCACCCACAGTCGGACGACATGGTGGAACGCTACATTAAGACCATCAAGGGGCACTTGCGGAAGGTTGTCGCATCCCACCAGAGGGACTGGGATGAGGGGTTACCCCTCTTTCTCCTAGCTTACAGGACATCCACTCACAACACTATGGGCTACGCCCCTGCTAGCCTAGTGTTCAGATGAGAACTCTGACTGCCCTGCGACCTGCTTTTTGGGGTACCCCCAGACAAGGAATTACCCACAACTGATTATGCAGCAGACTTGGTGTATCATCTACACGACATCTACAATTATGCTTGACAACACCTGAAGCTCGCCAGTGACCGGATGAAAACTCAGTACAATAAACTGGCCAACTCCGCAGTTTACCACGAGGGCGACAGAGTTTGGCTTTATCGTCCAGCCCGCAGGAAAGGGAAATCACCGAAACTTCAATTCTCGTGGGAAGGCCCTTACAAAGTAGTAACCCGGATAAATGACATGGTATACAGAATCCAGAAGAACTCTAGGTCAAGAATGTTGGTAGTACACCTGGACTGGCTCGTGCCTTATCATGGAGCTGCTTGGGACGAGCAACCATAAGAAGAGGGCAGGAACGGGGATGTACCATTAGGCTGTTCGGGACGAACAACCTTTAGAATGGAGCAGTGTGACGTGGATGGTGCAACAGGAAGTAGGGATCACGTGAACTCTGCGGTCTCGCAAGTGATGTCACATACACTCACTCAATCCATCATTACACAACGCTCGGTAAACAACCCACCCATGGTGACTTAACAGCAGAGCAGCTGTGTCAGGCAACCATTGTTGTGGTGAAGTAACAGCATAGGAGCCGTCACTGCTGCTACGGTAACAGGCCAGTAAACACTCTGCCCCCCCCCACAGTGATGTAACAAGGACACCGCTGTTAAGACGGGGCAACAGGGAACAGTATAAAAGGCCGGCTGAGTGGTGTGTGAGCCAGTGTGTGATTAGGGATGACAGAGTCTGGATTGTGAAGCTGGACAGAAGACAGGGGAAGTCTAGCAGCTGTGGAAGAAGAAGAAGACCCAAACACATGATCAGAAGAGTTTACATGTGATAAGCAGTGATAGTTTGTGATAACTGAGAAGGTATTGGGAGTGTGTAATTCAGTGACACTTGTATAGCTCCCATGTTATAAATACGTGAAGCCTACTGAAGAGAGTGAAGAGACTATTGTGTAGGGTTGTAAAGTGTGTCAACCTGTAACAGTATTATAAGTATTTGTATTTACGACTTGTAGGTTGTTAAATAAACCAATTATTAATCCGAACTGCATCTTCAGTAGCAAAACATGTTACAATAATATTACTCCACGATTTCTTCTTGGACCTTCTAAGTGACTACTTCTGAGGAGAGAAATCCATTAATGCAGATATGCTACGAATATTTCAATGAACATGGTGGATATAATAAAAAAGAAAGTAAATAAAAGTTAAAAAAAATATTCTCTCCTTGGTTCCAAAGTTTTCTGACATCCTGCAGATTATAATAAACACAGGGATAAATGGAATATTTGTAGCACAAATGACATACACAGGTAGTTGGTTTAAGCATTCTAAACTAAAGTACTTACTGTTCTACCTATGGTCTGCTTTGGTCCAACAGTAATGTCAAGTCGACCACCACCGGCTTCACGGAAGGATATGTTATGTCGCACATATATTGGAATGGCCACAATATTTTGTGATCCAATATGATATGACATTAACCGGAAGTTTCCATCAGGTGGAATGAAAGACAGGATCCTCTCAGACTGCAATCATATTCATAAAGTGACCAGGTACACACAGTTACAAAAACATAAGTGAAATATGACAACTTGTCAGAGGTACTGTACACAGGATTTATTATGCAACAAATACATCAAAATTCTGTAACTTCCAGTGCTCCAGTATCTATTGTTTTGTGTCCATTCCAATAACTATGTCCTGTCTGAAAAACTGTCACCTCTGGGACAAGTTCACCATCATGAACTGCCTGACAATACTAGTTACAAAAATTATGGTCATGTGGCCGCAAAGAAAGAAAAACTGTTATGTATGATCACAGTTTCAGTAATTTTGTTGTGGTCACCACATGGTCTCTTTTGATATTCCCAGTCCTTTTGTAAGTCATTTGAGAGTTCGAGGCTAATATTGAAGCTTAGATGCAATATCATACAACTTTTCTCCCTTTTAATACTTGAGGGTGACATTTTGCCAGATGTTCTTCCTTGACAATATTCTGAATAGTGTTTCTGTGGGGAACTCAAATGCCATAATGAATGGGCTATGTTTCCTTATGTAAACATATACCCTAGCCTATACCTTAGTTGGAACCAGTAACAGGATTAGTATTAGGCCAAAGTAACCACATATGGTGGAACCATGAGATAATGGGCATTGCTTACAAGAAGAAACTTCAGCACCATCAGTATATTAAGGTTACATACATGAAAAGAAATCTCATATAAAATTACATCATTCCTTCTAGCACTTTCATCATAACAAGCAATTCACAGCCAGCCACAACTTTTTGAATGATATGTAACTGCGGGTTTGTTTCTCAGATTGGCAGTCCAAAAATGTACCATTAAACCACATCTCTTGCCTCTCCCATGTTTGGGACAAAAAAAGACTCAATTCCAAAATCTGATAAATGTATGTCTGAAAAAAATATTTTGCCCCCCCTCAGGCAGAAGTGCTTAGCATCAGGAACTGTTCTAATTCATGACTGACAAATTTCTGCCAAGAGATGATGTAACTTCTCAGTTTGGAAAATAAGAAAGACATTGAGAATGTTGAATTATTCTGTGACATTCATGTCTACACCATAACCACTTTGAACAAGTTAGGATATGCTTGTATGACATAACAGTTCTGGCATGTGCCTATATACAGCACAAAATCAATTTTGTTTCATTATCTTGAAAACCATACCAGTGCAAAAAGTGTGAACATGAGACGTGGGTTTCATTTTTATCTAGAAATATTCTTCAGAACAATCTTTGTTGTGATAAATATTTAGTTATTTTGTGTGAGGTCTGCACAGACACACACTTTGGTAGCGTCCTTTTTCATTCTCAGATTTTAAACACAGCTGAGAGATGCTGACACATTTTGGTAAAACTCCCCAACATAAAATTTCAAGAAATATCCAATATGTGCTTCTCGATTTGTAACACACAAACAGAAGGCTGGATAGATAAACATGAGAAAGCTAAAACAGGCATTTTTGCAGGTTTTCAGTGTAAATGTGCCAAAAAAAAATAAATACTGTAGTGCTGAATTCCTTTTTTAAACATTAGTATGAGCTTCAAGGTTATGTATTTCAACTTTTTTCAGATATTATGAGTAGTTATAATGAGCATTTCTATGAACTGTAAAAATTCTCATTATCTTGAAGCTGCATGGCACAAGTAAAAAATAAAGTAAAGGTATCCTTGTAGCAGGCTGTGGAGGCCCGTAAGGTATGAGCTTACATAACTGAGTTATCATAAAATATTCTTGACTGACTTAGCACTATAAAAGCATCGACAGTGTACACTATCTGGACTTAGGGACCTCTGATGTTAGCTTACCAGAATTACAGGTATATCATCACGTGGAATAATAAACTTACCTCCCACCTCTTGAAACGAACACAGGGATGAAAACTGACATCATCAAATAATCGTGGGTTCATGAAGGACAATGTCAGATCCGGCATGCCACTCAGCTTGATGCAACAATCAATCTATAGGTAGAAGATATATATTCATTGATATTAATGTTCATACAGCAATATCACATATCTAATAATGATGTGGCAATGACACTGATGAATATCATTTTGTGTGTGTGCAAAGTGAAGGACTTAAACTTTTTCAGCAGAACAGTGAATTAAACTTTTTCGTGCTTATTGTTTAAAAAAGTACTATCCATGATAAAAATGTCCGGTTATTGTCTAGTATCACCTTACAACATGCATTTCATAATAGGAGATAATTAGATCCTATTTACCCCTCACAACAGCACTCAAATAACATATACACATCATTTCACTAACACACACTTTACAGACTTTATAACCTGAATGGTGCATCTACTGGAAGATTGGGGGCAAATAGTCTAGAACAGTGCTGTCCAACGTTCTTATGTACTCGGGCACAATTCACTGATGCCTATGGAGGTGTGGGTGGGTGTCAGCACACACTACTACTACTCGTACTTCTACTACTAC